CTGACCCATTCTAGCTTCGGTACTGGTATCTAATTATCGATGCTCATTATTATGTAGAGCACACGCCGGGGCACGCTTTCCCCTTTTATCATAAATTTACCAGTAATCACAACGCCATCAAGAAAATGCTTTTTTAAAATTAGATTTTAATAGAGGCAAGTTGCAGGCAAATGTCCAGCATTCTCGCTCCCGCTCCTAAAAGTGGCGGATGTGACGAACGAGATGAAAAGTGGAATTGCTAATTTAGAGGAGTTTTTGAACAAATATTTGATCAGCATGATAGTTTTGAGTGATGATGTATGTGAAAAATTATCTCATTATCATCAGCGTTCACCAATAGATCAATCTGGAAGAGATCGTGACCCTCCGTCATGGTATGGGCTACTGGTATAATGATCGACATTGAGCAGCTGAAACGAACCTAATTGCGTGTTTGTAGTTTCTGTCATCACTGTTGGAGATGGGGCAAAAGAGATACCGCAAAGTGGGGACAACTTTACATGGAGGAAGGTAGGAGTCTCGCCAGATTAAGATAAGATACTTTCGTAACTTCTTTCGGACATAACGTTCTGGGTTTTCTTTGTGAAAGAAGATTCATCAATGTAAATAAGATTGTCTCAGTTCAATTGGTTTATGTATCTGCCGTCAAATACATAGCTGAAAAGAAAAACAACAGAAACTTGAAACTGTAAGCTAGACATTTTTTTTTTCCGATAATAATATACAAGAAAACTCAAATCAACAATGTCGGTGAAACTGCCTCAATTCAATGAATCTGGTGATGCGACTTGCTCTGCAAGGAACGAGGTTTTAATTTTCGAAGCTATCGTCATCTCTCTAGCTTCTGTCGCTGGTATTCTGACAAACATCTTCAACATCGTCGTCGTACCTCATCTACCCGGTACGAGCATTGCCAGCAAGGCATTATACAGCATTGTATTCATAACTGATATATTTGGTTCACTGACTGCCTTCCTTACCCTCCCATGTTTTGTCCTGTGTCGGTGGGTATTTGGAGAAACATTCTGTTTGATTTTCACCTTGGTTTGGAACACGTGCCCGAGGATTACAAGCACATGTCTGTTTCTTCTGGCCATTGACAGGCACATCTATGTGACTCGGCCCCTTCGATATGAGCAAATCGTCACACCAAGTCGTTTAGGTGTTGTCACGGCAAGTGCATTGAGTCAGATCGTTTTCAATGGTCCAGTGTCGTTGTTGTTTTTACTTTCGAAGCCTACCATCACATTTGACCCTTACGCAGGAGCATGCGACTGGGCTCCACTGGCAGATGGCTACGACAGTGTGTCGAATGATATTACCATAACGTTCTCTTGGTTATGCATTTTCCTTGTCACGATTATCTGCGTACATTCACATATTGCCTGCATCACCCGCCGCCACTCGAACACGATTAAAACCCGTCAGAACATGGACCCGCGGTCAACAGTCAACTCAGTTTCGATGACAAATAGGACAACACAAAGCATATCTGCGGCGGAAGTTACTTCAACGTTCACAGAGAAGTCTTTGACCCATCCAAAAAGGAAACCCGATCAGGTTAGCGAGTTCCAAGAGGGTACGTCCGCCTGTACCTCAAGTAAAGCGACAAATCATCCTCCGAAGTCGCGCGGTGCCTCCCAAGCACCTGTTCCGGTCGATGTCTCCGAGCCTTCTCCTACCACTCCTACAACTCTGCATGGCGTTGTCCAACCCTCAACCAAGGATCCCCATCAACAAGACGCCAAGGCAGTTCCTCAGCGACAATCCGCAGAGTGGAAGGCAGTCAAAATGGCCATTCTGTTGTCAGGTGCGTTCTTCCTTGGGTTCCTACCAGATGTCATCTACAAAGTCATGCAAATCACTGGATTCGTAGATATCTACCAAGTCTTTATAACAGTGCATCTCTTATACATGAATCGAGTTTGGTGGAATGCTCTGATCTTCTACTACGGAAGGAACGCATATCGTTTACAAGTTCGGAGACTGTTTCGTTGTCTGAAACCGAATCGGGTGGACAACATCAGCGATTTTTAAAGTCATTACAAATAAACATCTCTCATGTTTCCATTTAAGATTAGCTTTCTTAATGTAATATCAATTTTTGTATTTAAGTTAAATGCACTTGAATGATATCCTGTGCTGCAATCTGTGACCCCCCCAAAAGGGAAACCTACGATATCTAAACTGTATAATAAATAGGGTAATGTAATTTCCTTTCGGATCAGGGGGTGTTTCACAAACTTTCTAAGTCGAACTTAACTCTAAGTTGGACTTAAATATTATGGAGAGCCATTTGTAGCCTCATAATGAAATATATTCAAAAGCAAAAATTCAAGTAATTTAGACTTTTCATAAATTCCACGCCAAGAACATGAAATCTCCCAGGATAGTAGGAACTATGAATGATTTGAATCAACATTTTATGCCTTTTAAAATAACTTTTACAAAATATTTTCAAGGATGCTAATGGCTTTCCATAATTGTTAAGTCCAACTTAGAGATAAGTTCAACTTAGGATCTTTGTGAAACACCCGCCTGGTGTCGGCCTGGTGTAGGCCTCACCGATGTGATTATAGGTAGTACAGGTTTATCCTCTTACCTTCGTCTTTTTGTACAGCCATACACCAGCCACATCGGAGAAACCGAGATCAGACCAACAGGAGACCGAACAAACAATTACATTACCTCATACCTCGGTCAAACCGACGAGACCGACAAAAGACCGAGAACGGACCGAACAAACAATTAGAGCCTCCATTACCTCATACCTCGGTCACACCGACAAAAGACCGAACACACAATCTGGGCCTACATTACCTCATACCTCGGTCACAGCGACGAGACCGACAAAAGACCGACAAGACACCGAAAACAAAATAGGGCCTACATTACCTCATACCTCGGTCACACCGACAAAAGACCGAGAACGGACCGAACACACAATCTGGGCCTACATTACCTCATACAACGGTCACAACGACGAGACCGGCATGAGACCGACAGCAGACCGAACAAAAAATTAGGGCCTACATTACCTCATACCTCGGTCACACCGACAAAAGACCGACAACAAAACGGCCTAAAGCCGATTCGGCCGCGCTGGCTGTCTGACCCGGGCATTAGCAAGTTTACTTTGTTATACATCACAAACTATCGCCATTTTGTATATTTACTAAATAATAAATCTTTGAGACATATAAAAAGAAAATTACCTCCTCATCTGGATAATACGCTAACGTTTGCCTCGCGGACGTTATTCCACTTGTCAACAAGGAACAAACCTGTTCCATAATTCCTTCTACGTAGTCAAAAATTTAAGAGTAAATATTGGTTAGTATATAATAAAGATGAAATCAACTAAAGTACACCTTTTCATCTATTACCCCCTTGTGACTCGTGTTTGTTTAATTTCACACTTCGCAAACTAGAATGCACAGTTTAGGTGAAATCGTCTTCATCTATATATATACATGTACTTCATTTACGAATAGACGATACATTTAGGTCTAATGAAAAATAATCAAATATCTTGAATTAGCTACAATAGAGATATTGAATACATTTTACAGAAGCTGATTTTAAACAAGCTCATAAGCAAATTGATTGTTATCATGTTTAGATGAGAAAACTTTTGTTCAAATATAAATGATTCACGACTGAAGACAGAGAGGCTCAGGCTCTCATCCAAACGTTTTCATTTGTTTAAACAGAAAATACCTAGTGAAATAAATGTATATCTCATTATAGAAGTAAATTATTTTTTCTTCTTTTTGCTCATTTGTTTGCGTAGCATTGTCTCATATCGTGTTGTTTATTTTGTTGTTGTGTTTCGGTTTGGTTAGGTTGTATTTCTTGTTAACGAGAATGTCTGTTTTATTCAATTGTTATTACTATTTGCGCTTTATGAAATCATTAGTTACATAGAGTCAGCATCACAATGAAAAGTAAGTTATTTTTGGCTCTTATTATACTCTTATTATGTTACTGTATTTATTGTTATATCTGTTGGTATTTTTTGTTTTCTGTATTGAAATAAATGCGTTGAACCGAAAAAGAAATCATTATTTACATTCCATGTTTGATGTATGACTAAAAAGATATGGCTTCTGTGTGTTTCTTTGTAAACATAATTCCGTTGTAAACATGATTATAATAACTATTTCTTATTGTCATAATTACCTCTATCATCACATACAAGTAGTAACAGTAATAATGAAAATAATTATAATAATAATATTTGTTTTAAAACAATGTGAGGAAAACTATTTCTATACAATGTTGTCAATTATCCTCTTCGTCTCTTTAGATAGTCCCCCTCTCTCTATTTCTTTCTCCACCCCTTCTCTCTCTTTATCCTTTTCTCTCTTTTGACAAGAATAGCTAGACATTATATATAACTTATAGAGTCATTCCGGGCCCAGTAATTTACCAGACGATAAATAACTGCGTCTTTATGGACACACGTATCAACAAACATTCTAAATTTCAAGCTATCAATAATAATGATAATAATATTGTTAATAATAAATCTGGATTTACATACCGCTTTATACGGAATAGCGTCGCTATATAAGCACTTTATTATTACCCCAGTCATCAGATTCATTTACGCACACTTATGCACGTTCTCCACTCCCTGGGAGTATTCCTACCATAATAATGATCACCACGAGGACATATGGTAATTCGTATAATATAGATTTATATTTTATTACAATGAGAGCGAGATGGGAGAGGAAGAAATTATTCATATACATACATTATAAAGAGAGAGAAAGAGAGAGCGAGTGAGAGAGAGAGAGAGAGATGTCCACTTCAGCATTGTCTATTTGCACACGTATCTCCACAGTTCAAAGGTATTGATTTTAACATTAACTCTGAATGTTTCATTTGATCAAATATGATATTGGAATAAGATATAACTTCGATTCTCATGACTTGCAATAGTTGGAAATCAAACTTCCCGATTCAACGTTCTACTCTTGCGTATAGTGATCATGGCGGACAAGCAAATCAAGGTAGCATTGTGGTGCGTGCCACGGTCGATGTCCACGGTGTTTGCGAAATGCATGAGTGCCATTGACGAGATGGAAGTCTATTTGGAGCTTTACTCGTATTCTGCATCAGTGAGCGGCGTTTTCCACTCGGCGACGGGGCGTGTATTGCCGAAGAAGCTTGCCGGGAACGAGACGGTATACGAAGAAGCGCTGGCAGTGTGGAAGCAAGAAACTGACAGCATTTTAAATCCGAAAAGAATATCGTGAGTAAAATTTCGAAGAAAACAAGGGAAAGAAGCTGGAGTATATTATATAAGGAGATAAGGAGATAATCAGGAGGGGGGGGGGGGGGGGGGTCAAAAGGTACTATGTTTTTTTAATGTTTTAAATGGGGGGGGGGGGGAGCAAGCAGGTAACGATAGAAGCGCTGTAGGGTTATTAATGCAATTGACAGCGCCCAATTACATATGATTGGCAGGTTAGCGGCGCCAATAAATGGATTTGCGTAGAGTTGCGTAGTGTGGCGTACCAACTACGCCGAAATTAGGCTGCGTATTCATGAAAAAACGTTGCTTCAGCGTAGTCCCTGCGTAGGTAATGCCTAGGCTGGCGTACGATGGCGTATGGTTACGTGCGTAGGGTAGCGTTCTGTTGCGTAGGCTTGGCGTTCTGTAGCGTAGTGTTGCGTATAGACTTGCGTACAAAATGCGTACATGTATAAAAAATTATACATGTTTAAGTTTGTGTGTCCATCTCGCGTACCCCTTTGCGTCCCTCAGCGTACAGTAACGTAGGCCAGCGTAGGGCAGCGTAATACTGAGAGAAGAAGTATGTTTTATGTGATGTTTTGAAAATTGGCAAAACTGGTTAATCATCTAATGGAAAGTGTGATATTGTTCCACGTTTTTCGAAGCAATCACACTCTGAAAAAATGTTGGGCTAAAAAATTGCTATTGGGTAAACTAAAGATTTTGCATGATTTACCCAGTGTTGGATAAAAAGAAAATAACTATCTTTTAACCAACCGACTTACATTTGAGGCCGCCATCCTTGTCAAGCATCGCTTATTATTGCGGTCTCCTTCACTTTTACATAGATAGTTAGGATAATACTTAAAATTTATAATAATAATGTTATAGAAATATTAAGTTTCGTTATGTTAATATATTTTTAAAAAAATTGACATAAAGTTATTATTGTTTGTATAGTTTGTATTATACCATAAGTTTATTATGTTCTTTGTTATTATATTTGGAAAAATACAGAAAAAATCAAATGATTTGCCCAGTAACATGTGCCCAACTTTTATTTACAGTGCACTTCTGGGTCGATTGAATAAAAAGCGCTCACATAGGACAATTTGGTGCCCATATTTGGTTTTAAAAATATGCACATTATACAAATATTGCTACCGTTATTATCAGAACGCTTCTAAGCCTAAGATTATATTGACTAGTTTGTAATTTCGCCAAGTCGGGTTCCTGAGGTTCAAATTATAGACCTATTCTTTTTTTAAAAATCAAAATGCTCATATCTTTTCAGATGCTATGATATCAAACGAGATCTTGAGAGCACGAAGAGTAAGTTAGTTTTTATCAAGGAGATGGCCTACATCACAGATTATGTCCAGGAGTATCTGCCGCAAGGCTTCAAGTATGTCTTCCTCACTAGAGAGCCTACCAGGGTCTTTACATCTTTCCGGAAAAGTATACAAGCCTCGGGAATGTTCCATCGAACAGAAGGTCCCATTCTGGACATCATACGCGAAGATCCGGCGAATATTCGACCAATGTCTTGGTACGAGAAACAGCACCAGCTCTGGAAATATGTCCAAGAGCACCTCGACCCTAACCCGATCATCATCGACGCCACTGATCTCGCCTCCCAACCGAGGAAGATCTTGAAGAGTTTCTGTGAGGCTGTTGGGTTTCTCTACAGCGATAGCCTCCTGCAGTGGTCCCCGAGTCAAAACTTCCCAAAGAACTTTGTGACGGCAGGAGAAAACTTAGAACAATTCGCTGCGTTTTATTCTACAGCTTTAAGCAGCACACACTTCATGGCGCCTGCTAAAAAAGGGCCTATACCACGTGATCAGCTTACGGATGACGTCATCCGATGCGTTGACTACTCCATGCCATTCTACCGTGAGATGTATGAAAACAGACTGCAAGCTTCTTAAAAAATGTCCGCAGGTCTTTCAAACAAGAATAAGTCTCGCTTTGTGCATTTTAGAATAATCCATGCCCAAGTGATGTAGGCGCTTCATAAACGCCTTTCCTTTGCCCTTTTGAAAATGATACTGCATAAATAATACAGAGTCGGGGCTAAATGAATAATGTTGATTTAACTTTCATGATAACATATTGTATCAAAGTAACATTCGTCTTGATGAGTTCACACATTAATTTGTATGAAATAATGATATCTATCTGCCGAAGCATAGTATTCCCGAAGTAGCTCAGAGATTATAAGGCGCCAATTCATCATCAGACATCAATGTTCATGAGAAAAAATTGACAATGTCCAAATTTCGTGTTCGTATGAAAGAAAGTTGCCAGATCCGGGAACGCCATCATGCACCTCCGTTACAGTTTTGCATTATCACACAAAGGATCAGTTGACGAATCAAAGGAACTTTGCTTCATGGTTCGCTAAACAAATCTTCGTTCCCCTAAGTTAATGGCTTCACAGTCAACAGTTTGCAAAACACAAGTCCAAGCCAATTAACCAATCAACAAAGCTATAGACACTATCCAGTGGCCGAGCAGCCGTTAAATAGCCGAACATACCCCGACAGATTTCATTCATTTCTTCAGCACCGTTCACAGTTGATCTCTCTCCATTCTATCAATAACATTGCCAATCGATATGGCTCGTCGCATATTGCTAGCTCGAAGAAACGAAGGAGTGAAGCCGTCCATCCCACCAATGCCGGGGATGATCAGTGCTCCCATCGTCAAGCCTTCATCCTCTCTTCAAGGAGGTGTCCAATCTAACATCCAAGCGATGTCAGCTCATCACAAGAATACTTCTGATTCATTCTAGACTGGTTCTCCAACTGTTAATCTTCCGATGGAGGAAAACGGCTCTTTTAAGAGCCACTATCTGTACAAGAAAGAACGTTGTATTTCATTAAATCAGGGAGGTGAAAGAAAGGAGTCGAAACTCTTGTAATTTATTCAAACGCATTCGTGAGTTCTAAAGCGTAAAAATGGGCTGTGCATTCCACTTGGCTTTGAAGTTCCATGCTCCGAGCCGCGCTTCCACTGCGGAATTTTTGGAGGCCAGGCACCAGTTTCACATTTATTACAAAATATTAAATTACCGGCAAAATTTCAGTGTAAATTATAAACTTTAAATGGGGATTATATTGGGAATAGTGCATCAAACAATTTTTCAAATTTAGGACTGCAACCTTCCTATAATTTGTGTGCCAGAGTTAATAAAACAAAAATTAGATCCTGACAAAACTTAATATTTTAGGATAATGCACTAATTTGTGCATGTTTTAATGTCCCGTTATGTAATCCATGATTTACAGTCTTCGATAAGTTTAAGTTTGCTAATGCGCGTTTTTGCGTGTTTTTTGTATTTTTGCAGTTGAAATTACACAAGTTTGTGTTCGCTTGTTCTACTCTTTACACATTCAACAATGGATGAGATATCATTGAAAGGGACAGCGAACAGTTGCTGTGATACCATTTTCTGATGTAGGAATTCTAAATCCTGAAATTTCATGCGCTCTTTTATCTCACCACCTGGTCAACAGTTGCAGAATAGCGCATAACTTTTCGGCGGCTTGGAGCATGGGGTCAAAGGAGAGCGGCTTGATTCCAGTCCTTTTCTATCACGTCCCTGATTCAATAGACCAGTTTATAGTTAGCACATGGGTCATATGACCCCAAATATCCACATATCTTTTAAACATAGATAAATCCATATTGTGCCTTTTGGAATAATCACAGCTAAAGTCATGGAGGTGATTCATTGTTTGCCCTCTTGAAAAGATTACTTCCACCTGTATTCAATAGAATGCATCACAGGTGCATGCGTGAGTAATGATTACATAACTTTTGTGAGCATGTATCCATTTAGCTTAGATTGTATCTACGAACTGGTATATTAAGGGCATGCGAGCTAGGAGGGTGGGATAGGCCATTAACCAGTGGCCCACTACAGTTATAAAGGGGCATTGATTTCATAGAGGGTGGGGGCGGTCTTGATTCTTATAGAATGAAAAAATCAATTATGACAAAATATGCGAGTCAATTTAGGGCTGGCCGCATATCAGTAATAAAGATGAAGTATAAGTATAATAATTTATTGTCCTTTTCAGGAAATTTGTTTTCCACTGGTTACAGAGTATTGCGATACAGATATATAAATGAAATATTACAGGACAGTGATAAACATACACATAAGATAAACATACAATAGATGAGTTAATATGTAAGCCACGGTATATATATGGTGGTTAAAGAGGTAATATCAGATTCCATTTTACAAAATATGAAGCTAAATTATTTAATATCAATGATTATTCCATAGTAAATCTTAACATGATAATAAATACATAAATCATTATTATTGTCATTTTTATTATTATTATTATTATTATTATTATTATTATTATTATTATTATTATTATTATTATTATTATCGATTACCATTTGGAGTAGTATAATTATTACCGGCATCGTTTTTATTGATGACAAATGGATTGTAGTTACTGGCTCAAACGGTAATTGATAGTTGGATGCAATATTCATGGCATATATTTGAAATTTATATTATATTACATTTATATTGATACATTGACATGGTAGGTTCATAGTAATCAAACACGTTTTGCTTTGGAATTGAAAAGATGAATGGAGTCGGGGATAAGTAGGGGATAAATATCAGACTATGAAGAATAAAATATATTGGATCCTAGGAAATCGATGCAGAAGGCTCGTTTGTTATTGGCACGAAAGATCAATTGAATGAAAAGGAAAGTGTAAGAGAAGGAATCAGTATTATCTCTCTCTCTCTCTTTCTTTTGAGAGAGAGAGAGAGAATATTTATGCTGTATTTCTTCTTTCTCGCTTCTCTGTAATCTCTACTTATACTATATTTCAATCTCTCTACTCCGTACTACCCCATTTCTACTATGGCATATGACATGTACTGTCTACCCCTCCCCCTTTCTCTATTATGTTCTATTTCCCCTTTACAATTCCCTCTCTGCTTGGTACTCTCTATTCCCCTCTGTACACTGCTCTCTCTACCATTTGCCCTCCATCCTCCCCTTCTCTCTCCCTCGACTCTACTATGTTCATCTCTCCCTCCATCTCTGCTCTATTCTGTACTGCCTATTTTGCCCCCCCCCCCCTCTCTCTCTCTCTCCCTTCCATACCACATCAGTCTGTCTTTGCTATTCACTCTCCCTTCATATCACCCAACCACTTTGTCTTTCTTACACCTGAACACATGCAAGTGATCGCCTGTCTTGACCAAAAACAATGAAATACTACATGTCTACTCCACATAATTTTTACGATTGCTGGAGTTTAATTCTTTCACATAATCAGAAACTATATTGCAATAAAAAAGCCAAATCAATTATAACATTCCCTACACGTAACCCTGTACACCAAAAATAAACTTTAAAGACTGTTACAAATGTTGGTTTAAAATAAAAACACAAAATTTATTTAAAAAATTGATGTCATATAAACAGGTTTTAAACCAAATGTATCATTTGCTTCATTATGGTGATCATTATATTTGTCTGTTTGTTAGATGTTTAAACTTTCAAGGTGGTGCCTTCAATGAAAACAAGTACAATAAGATATTGCCATTAAATCAATAAATTAAAAAATACATCATTTTAACAGGGTTCCCACAGAAACTTGAGAACCAAATTCCACAACCCATTTTTTCCTTTTTTCCATTTTTCCATGACCAGATAAGGATTATTTTGGAATGGGTCGAGGCATCCACCCGGCCTATGAATACCACGCCCAATGTAAGTTTCAACTGGAAAGCTGCCAGTGCCACACATAGATGTGGGCTGTGTGTGGGTGGAGCACACAGCCCACACCCACGGTCAATTTTCACAACTTTCCAAAAGTTATCTTTTCATTTTCCATGGCATACCCATGGGAACCCTGTTTCAAGGTCATAACTTGACCTTTAGGATAGGTCCGAGCAAACGCACAAGACCTTTAATACTGATTTCACACTGGCAATATTTTGCTTAACCCCGTACAATAGGTGGGGTTAAGGGGGGTCTTAGCCCCACCTATAGTACGGGTTAAGCCTATTCCACTTTCTGTTCAGACTGGTTTTTACCAAAGTGGGCTAAAGTTGGCTAACCCCACCTATAGTACGGGGTTAACTAACCCTGCAAAATAGCAGGGCTAACTCCGCAATTGTGGTGCTAACTCCTGCTAACCCCGCAATTGCGGTGCTAAGCAAATGAATGAGAACTGAAACGAAAAATAGTCCGGTACTACGCAATGGAGCGTATCGCAGCTGGCCAGATGCGAAGTATGTCCAATCATAACATACACGATATCCGGGGTTAACGAAATGCAGTGAGAACAGCGGGAATTTTCTTATTCCGGAATAGGCGCTAGTACGGTACTAAAAACAGCGAGTGTGAAAAGCCAAAAAATAGTTCGGGGTTAAGGATAGTACGGGGCTAAGCAAAGTACGGGGTTAAGCAAAACCAGTGTGAAAAGAGTATAAGATGGTAAAGTATAATTGGGTAAAGATAGAATATAAATTCGAAACAAGTGAATTAATTTTTTTTGTTGACAGAATGTCCTTGGCTTGAATCAGTCAAAAGTATCATGAATACCGATGTCATAATACTGTCATCTTTCACCTCACCATAATGCTTTGTTCTATTTCATTCAGGGTATTTACAGGAATTATTGCAGCATCAAAGTCACAAATTTCTAACTACTTTGAAGAAGAACATAAATTGAATCGCAATGATTGTTATTTCAGATTGTAAATCCCCTTTTTACACGTCATTCAATGCAGGGAATTATAGATAAACATGTTCAAAACTGGTAGTGTGATGACAATGCATCAGTTCTGCTTGGCTTTTATTTCATATTACAAACATAAGATTAGGGCAAAGTCAGTGGCATTTCAGAAGAATTCGTGAAAAAGAAGAAAAAAAAGCCTCAATAGTACTAATATGGTAAATATATCCATACTTTTAAAGTATGGAACAGCTAGCTTACAGCAAGAAAAGCTATTCTTTTCTTGCAATTTGCTATCAAGTCTAAATTACACTATTTCTAACTTATACCGGGTAATATCAAAGGAATGAACACTAATAATACAAATGCTTGAATACATTTCTGTTTATATTTCTTTTCATGATATCATGTCAGGAATTCTTCTCTTCTTTAAAGAAAAGGTTGAGTTCTGGGAAAAATAATTTGTGAGTGTTATCATTGTATTATGCAAGTGTGGAACAACTTCAGATAAAACATCTTCTCTGAAAAGCATGGCTCTTTTTTCGCCACGTGTTTGTTTAGTCCCAAATACATCTTTCTATGTACAGCGCTTGAAACTTTACCAAGACTGGGCCAAATTTCTTAGCATTTTGATGATTCCAAAACCTTGCAATACACATAAATACTTATATGCTAGATGATCAATCTTTTCTGATCGACTCCACAACGTTTCTTTCACAATCCAATCGCTTGACCAGAACTCAACCTTCTCTTTAAGCCTCATTTAGACATAAACTGCAGCGTTTTTTTAAAAATTATTACGTAAAGTGTAATCTGCTTCACATTTCTGCATCGTAACACAGAGCTCAGTGAATATATAAATGCATTTTTTTTGTTGCAGTTACTATTCATTACATGTACAAAAACTAACATGGTAGCTTTTTTTGTGGCAATTTACCACCTAACAACTAAACAAGTCTTAACAAAGAACAAGTATGCATTTATATTTTGCAAACGAAAAGACTACTTTCTGAAGAGTAGTGCTACTTCATATGCTAGCTCTAACTATAGTCGCATACCCCAGTCACTTTGTGAAACTCACTCCAAGCTGAGCAATAATCATCAAAATCTTTACAACTCGGGGTCAAGTAATTCATTTTTTTGTTTGGTCTATTGACCAAACGTCTTATCTAACTACGTCTTGTCACAGTGTATTTGGAAGATACATGATTTTTTTTTTCCCCAAAGGAAAATGACATGTATTTTCAGATGATTCAGCTCAGTTAAGTCCATTTCACGATTCCATAAAGAAAACAGGAAATGCTCCATATTATCAATAAAAATGCTAGTAGGTATTGTTTTGTATAGCTCTCATATTTGCTACGCAAGTTGCTCAAGAAGCTCTAATGTTTGCCCTGGCTCTGCAGATTTCGCTACTCACAGCAATCAAGGAAGACTTTCCTATCTGTGCCCATTTAACACCTAGGTGGAGAGTGGCAAATGTAGATTAATGTCTTCCCAAGGACACTAATGCTAAGCCAGGACTCCATCCACCTTCACCTCACTATTCTACCGCGTGGTACAGATGGAATTCTTACACTACTATCTCAACCATGACAGTCTCTGAGAGATGATTACATGAAACATTATTATTTATGACATCACTCTATTAAGAAATCACAAAATTTGCAGAAAGGTCTTTAACCTGGCATTTAATGAGTTGACAGATTTTTTTTTCTTGAGTTCTTTTGAGCAGAGTATTCAACATTAAATTTATACACTGTGTTTTGAGCCAAGTGGGAGAATCTGCACATCTTATGTTTTGCACACAGTACTTTTTTTTCTTCAAAAGCATCTCAATAAATATAGATGGATTCCTATTTCCTTCTTGATAAACAATCCAAAATAAGTTTTAGAGTTTCTCTCGAAAAGCAGTTCTACTGCCAGTTCTCGAGAGGAAACTTTTAACCAAGTCAAACAATGACCCCTACCCCAAATGGCATTTGACTCCTGGAATTTTTGAAAACAAAGATGAAGTATCTTCATACAAAAGTCACATTCCTCACTTCTTTCAGACGACTTTTTAGTATGAAAATGAGGCTATAAACGAAACAAAATGAAAGATAAAATGAGTGCTGCCAATTTGAAGAAAAAAAGGATCTCTAACCCTAACCAGAATTTATGACTTAAACTATAAATGCGGTCTGTAAATGAAAATGATGTTCTACCTACAAGATACTGACTCACATGCTACAAATCAAGATGAGATTCTAACCCCAAGACATAGATTTGAGATGAGAATGCCGATCCTAGTATTTTGGTTTGGGCGTTGTTGGTGTATGATCCTGGAGCAGAGAGAGCATGACAGACTGTAAGAAGAGAGAGAGAGAGAGAGAGAAAAAAAAAATTATTAAAAGAGAAGGTTGAGTTCTGGGAAGAGGTGAAAAATAATCTGTACAGACGTACGTACGGACGGACAACCAGAAAACATGATGCCTCCGGCTACTTTGAAGCGGAGGCATAGTGAAAGTAATCGTTAAAAAAAAAATTAATATAAGTGGGCTGTAATATATAATACCACCGAACAGCACCTGTCTAAGGACACAGTTAGGTTTCCCTCACAAATAAAATTATTTTTATTTGAGATATTTCTTGTCCTGTTTTCAGAGAGTGTATTTCTTACTGTGGCTGTCCAAATTATGCGATTCTCATTGGACTTTACATGAGACGTAGATGAAATAAAAGTAATTGTAAAAAACAAAAATTACGTAAATTAATTGAGGTGAAATAAATACATGTAACACCGCTGAAATAGGGACACAGAAAGTTACCAGTATCCCTCACAAATAAAATTCTATTTTAAAGATGATCATGCGTGGGTATATAGTCGTTCATGAAGTAGGCAACTTGTCGATCACTCCCAATCGCTACATAACACAGAGCCAATGGGTATTGCGCTTCAGTGCGTACGTCTGTGTGCTGCCCCCTATATACCCACGCTTGAGCAACTTTAAGTCCTGTTGATAGAAAGTGACTTTCTTACCATGGCTGTCCACTTGCGGTTCTTAGCGGCAGGGAAAGCCAGGGATCTAGGAGAATAGAAGACCTCGTCGTTCACCTCCGTCAGTACGTACATCTGTCTGTACGGACCGACGGACCGACAACCCGAAAACATAACGCCTCCAATTAAATTCTATTCTAGTTGATAGAGAGTGACTTTCTTACCATGGCGGTCCACTTGCGGTTCTCAGCAGCAGGGAAAGCCAGGGATCTAGGAGAATAGAAGACCTCGTCGTTCACCTCCTCTGATTTCCTGGGTAGACAATGCAGGAACGTCCAATCCTTGGCTGCTACGCCACACATCTAGGTCAATGAGAGCAAAAATGGTTTCAGTACCTTTATGAAAGACGTTTATATAGGGCTGAAGATGAAATTGATCAATGCCATCGCAATATCCATACCTAAAAAATCTACCGGTATTAAAGATAGAGACCAGTTATGGTCATGCGATTGCATTGTGAAAGAAACGTTGTGGAATCGATCAGAAAAAGTTGATCATCTAGCATATAAATATTGGTGTGTACTGCAAGGTTTTGGAATCATCAAAATGATAAGAAATTTGGCCCATTCTTGGTAAAGTTACAAGCACTGTACACAGAAATAAGTATATGGGACTACGCGACACGAGCGCAACACGTGCCCGATACCTATCAGGTCCAAATAGATATAATAATTTACCAAATATATCAATTCGTAGGCAGTTTCTCAGCAAAAAGTTGTATCATTACGTATTAGTCAAAACATATTCTTTCACATAATTGGTAATAAGAGCTTCCATTTCATTTTTTGATAGGGGGGTGTTCCAAAACTGGTTTTTACCTTTAATACTTTTCAACTGAATATAGTTTGGATAGGCTTTGGCAGTGTCACTAATATAAAAGTTCTGATTAAAGGTAATGCAAAGTTTTGGAAAATTTTGAAAGTTGGATGGATAGTAATTCTGTAAAATGATATATTTGGATGCTCCTGTGGATGTATTATAAGCACTAGAAAATGTAGCCCCTAAACACTTCTGCTTTTGAGCAAATTGAATAATCAAAATGTACCGGTGCTCCTGGATTTCAAATAGAGCGTAAGGCCATTCAATGGTAGCTCGACCATGAAAATCTCGGAATATGCAATTCTGATATATAATTTCCAAACAGAAATAGCAAATTGGTCGATTGTAGCCAATAAACATTGTTTTCTTAAAAGCTAAAGTAATATCAGTCTTGAGAGGGAGCTATACAACTCAAAGTTTATTATTTACAATTTATTCACTTTCGACTTGATTTCAACCGCGACAATTATCATTGAATATTGTAAAATCGCGTTTACTTCTAATATATTCATTTGATTCATGACCCCATACTTTGTATTACATTTAATCATATCAAGAATCTAGAGTATAATTTACAAATTACACTCAACATTAAAATCTCAAGTCATAGGTTCCTTTAATTTTTGAAGAAATGGTGGAAAACTTGCTTCTCTTCAGGATATATTTGAATATATGAATATTATCTAATATGGCTTTCACATATTGTATTTTTTTAGTGTCGCATTTATACAAAAGAGGTTATGATTAATCTAATCACAAATCTAGGATGTCATGGTATAAATATGGTTTTTTAATTTTTTACAGGAAAAGTCAAAACTATGATCATTATTTAAAGGGATAGTTGAGTTGTGTTGCAGAGGGCGCTACACACAATAATTTTTTGTCAGATAATGAAAAACTGAGTTTCAAATTTGAAAGAACATAATATTTAAATGACAAAATCATCTTTGTTCGATCAAAATCGGTTCAGAGACGGCTACAATATAACGATTTATAATACTTGTGTACCACCACAAATATTAGATATTTTGAAAAATTTGAAAAAAACATTGAAAAAAACGAAATAACGCCTTTTACGTTGTATTTCAGCCAATGCCGATGTTGGCTTTTTTGTCGGCATTTTCGTATTGTTTATATTACCCACAATTAGCTGGCTCACGTATTGTTATTTTTAATTAAATAATTAATTAACGGTCACCGCATTTTTTTCATAGTGGAGCTGAATTAAGAAGATCGTATTGGCTAAATTTCACACATTTTGGGGTCTAAAATTACCTTCAAAGCTATTTTAGATTCTTAAAGGGCACTATAAATGTCATAGATAAGAATAAGAGCAATAACCATGCACTTTGAAGGCATTTGTGGTCTGGAAACAGAACTCAACTATCCCTTTAAAAACAACAATCACAAGTGAAATCTAAAAGAGAAAGGTTTCTTGAATTTAACCCGTCGACTACTGAATTGTATAGGTCCCATAGGCTTAACACAGGGACCACCAGGTTCCCGTAAGCAAAGGGTTAATAGAAAAGTGAAAACTAACAACATTTTGAATGATTGCCGATTGCTTTAAACCTGACTGCACATTTACAGGTGAAATCTTAAAGCCCTCTCTAAATTGTTGGGAGCCCCAAATTCGCTTAAAAATTGGATAGCAAAATTTCACTTAAATTGTGTAATGATGCGAAAGAGGTGTGCAAGGCATTTAAAATGAAATGTGTTTGAAGACGAATATTGATCAAAGAATACAAAACTTGGGTTTTGTGTTGTACACTAAAAACCTAAATTTTGTATTCTTTCATCAATACTTGTCTTCAAACACATTTATTCTGGAACTCCTTCCAGAAGTCAGTGTTAAATGACATCCTCTTTCACTTGAAGTAAATTTATGTAATCAAATTTTGTGGGCTCCCAACACTTTAGAGATATTTTAAGACTCACAATGTTCTTTCTTTTCAAAAGAAACAATGAATAATAAAATAAATTTTTGATAACAGCATTCAAAAGTGAAATCATGAAAGTCATAGGTTCCTTCTATTTTACAGAAAAAAGTGAATAACTAATATCATTTTTGGGAAATTCATCTCCTCTACTAGATGACCTTTGCATACCTTCATATTGACCTGGTAGCCCTCAAACACCTTCAACCTCTCCGCCTTCTCTTCCTCCTGACCCATGCTGACCCAGGTATCCGTGACGATGACATTTGCCCCTTGACATGCTTCCATAGGATCATTAGTATAGTAGAAGGACGTACCATACTGTTGATTCAAATTCAGAACAGGAACATATCAATGATTTTACTTCATATTCTTCTTTACTTTATCCAAGTGAACTGTCATGCAGGCATTATCATCAACAACAGAAAATACCCCCCCCCCCCCCCTCCCAAGACCACTTTTTCCGGTATGCTCTTTAACTCATTTGGGACGACCAGTCATCTTTTGTGGTTTGACTGAATAACTACAAACTGGTCTATGGTACGGAACATAAAACTCGGTGGAGTAAATCTCGCTGCCTTGTAACTACATGCAAGACTGATAACATACAGACATTGACTGGTAGGATGTGTAATATAGCATTCTTTGGATTCCCAAAGGGAGTTATATTTTCCTAAGGAGTTATATTTTGTGCGCTGAGTGAAAATATGATCACGTCGGAATATAGCTTCTGCGCGGTCTTTCCTTATGTTATTCTTTGTTTCTTCCTTCTGTGTCACCTTTTCTTATGTTAATCTCTGTTTCTATCATTCTATCACTCTCTCTTTCTGTCTTTCTTATGTTATTCTTTGTTTCTTCCTTCTGTGTCACCTTCTTTTATGTTAATCTCTGTTTCTATCATTCTATCACTCTCTCTTTCTGTCTTTCTTATGTTATTCTTTGTTTCTTCCTTCTGTGTCACCTTCTTTTATGTTAATCTCTGTTTCTATCATTCTATCACTCTCTCTTTCTGTCTTTCTTATGTTATTCTTTGTTTCTTCCTTCTGTGTCACCTTCTTTTATGTTAATCTCCGTTTCTATCGTTCTATCACTCTCTCTTTCCTTATGTTATTCTTTGTTTCTTCTTTCTATCACCTTCTATTATGTTATTCTTTGTTTTTATCATTCTATCACTTCCTTTTCCTGTCTTTCCTTATGTTCTTTTTTATTTCTTCCTTCTATCACTTTCTCTTATGTTATTCTTTGTTTTTATCATTCTATCACTTCCTCTTTCTGTCTTTCCTTATGTTATTCTTTATTTCTTCCTTCTATCACTTTCTCTTATGTTATTCTTTGTTTTTATCATTCTCCTCTTTCTGTCTTTCCTTATGTTATTCTTTGTTTCTTCTTTGAAAGAATGTATATTACACACCCTTCCTTTCAATATCTGTTATATTAGATAGCCTTGATTACACTCTGTTATATAAAATCAAGAACAATTGCGATCTCATGGTTTTTTTAATGTGCTTTTTGTGCTGTCCAGGTTTCCGTCTGAAATGCGCACCGTTAAGACAATCCAAACAATGGGATACAATTGGATACCGTTTGATGCAAAAATATATTAATCGACCACGTGGTCCATATAAGTACCATTGTAAAATGAGCGGGAGTGAAATATTCTAATTACGATAATCACAAAACCGATATGACGTGATGAGCTATGGACCAATCACACCTCATGGGTGGTATTCTCGAAAGCAGACTAACTTTAATCCATGGTTTAATCCACCGATTAATTATGGAATGCCAAGTGTCATATTATTACATTTTATTTTAATTTAGTGACAGATTAAATTATTCAAAAACATATTCATATGGGCACTTGGCATTCCATACTTAGTCGGTGGATTAAACCATGGACTAAAGTTAGTCCGCTTTCGAGAACAACACCCCATGTGTCTGTAAGAGCTTTCTATTATGAAATGATGATGAACTTACTTGCTCTGCTAGTTTGCCTGCATCCTTCTCCACTTGAGGGAAAACCTCATAACCCTGTGAACAGACAAATATATTCAAGAATATAGGGAATGCATAGGGAATGATTGGTAAATAATATATATAAACAAAATTATTTGGTGAGAAGGCTTAGTGGCCAAGCAGTGGTCTCGTATCTGCAAGGACCCAAGGCAGGAACCACATGGATTCGCTAGAGCTCTTCTGTAAAGCATTACTCCTCTTTACCAAGTCCCTCAGAGAAGACTTAAAGCCGTCAGACCAGGGCAGCGTTTCACGAAACCGTCATAAGTACAAGTTCACCGACATCCCATTGAAATGCGTGTATTAAGTTTAACACGCGTTTCAATGGGATGTCGGTAAACTTGTACTTATGACGGTTTTGTGAAACGCTGCCCCAGTTGCTGTTTTGTTCAGATATGACGCAGTGAAACAGTGGCAGTTTTATTATGATGACATGCAGGGCAATACGCTTCACACTTCTGTATCTTATATAAACACAGAGCTCACTGAAAACGCAAAGGACCTTTGCAGTTGCCATTCATATACACGTTTTAAAAACGTCAGTTGGCGTCGGTTTACAACGTCAGATCTGAATGAGTGCATGTTTTAAAAACGTCAGTTGGCGTCAGTTTACAACGTCATATCTGAATGAGCCTTTACAAACATACACACATGCTTTCTTAAAGGGATAGTCGAGTTCTGTTTTCAGACCGCAAATGCCTTCAAAGTGCACGGTTATTGCTCTTATTCTTATCTATGACATTTCTAGTGCCCGTTTAGAACCTAACATTGCTATGAAGGTAATTTTAGACCCTAAGACGATCATACCAATTCAGCTCCTCTTTCAAAAAAATATGGTGACAGTTAATTAATTATTTAATTAAAAATGACAATACATAGGCCGACTGGTTGTGCGTAATATAACCAAATTAATCTAATATTTGTGGTGGTAGGCCTACACAAGTATTAGAAATCGTTATATTTACGTCTCTGAACCGATTTTGATCAAACAAAGATGATTTTGTCATCTAAATTGTATGTTCTTTCAAATTTGACACTTAGTTTTTCATTGTCTCACAACAAAAATTATTTTGTGTAGTGCCCTCTGCAACAAAACTCAACTATCCCTTTAAGCAGTCAGGTAAAATAAACCATCTAATAATGAAACCAATCATTGATATTGAAACAAAGGTTTAGTTACCGTACCTTAGGTGTTGCAACTCTTACGTTGACTCCCAGGGGAGCAGCAGCCATCATGAGGGAGTGTATGATGTTGTTTCCGTCTCCAACCCAGGCCACAGTCAACCCTTTCACAGAACCATAATGCTCCTGTCACCAAACAAATAGGGAAGAACAGAAAAGAAAATATTATGTAATGCAACGAACACCAGGTAGCGGGGAAGTTGTTTCCATCTCCGACCGACCAACCAAAGTTATCATCACAGCCTCTTTGCAGAACCATAATGCTCCTGTCACTAAACAAATAGGAAAGAACAGAAAAGAAAATATTATGTAATGCAATGAACACAAGATAGCAGGAAGTTGTTTCCATCTCTGACCAACCCAAGTTATCATCACAGCCTCTTTGCAGAACCATAATACCTCCTGCCGTGATAACAAATAAAAAGGTAATTCCAGGGTATTTCCTCCTTTGGTGTCCCATATGTTACGTTGAGGGGGGGGGGGGAATACTTTTCACTTCCTACTTGGTCTGATCTAAAGTCTAATAAACTTAATACAATTTTTGATCACTCCCCAGATATATAAAATTTACACATAAGAAGGGAAAAAATGGGATAATATAGCTTGGACCTAACTGGATGAAAATATGATGAAAATGTTGGATGCAATATTATGGCACTTATTCTTCAAAGATAAAACCAGGCTTAACCTCGACCATGCACGTGTCAACCCTTATAAATTTCTACTTAAATAACTGTAAATATGTAACAAATAAATAGACAAAATTAATATGAATATAAATGAAAAAGACAAAACTATACTCAGGTCATAAGTTCTTGTATTTTGATTTATAGTAACAGAAATATGGCAATTTGTTTTGTATGGGATAAAATGACTGACATTTGGTACTCTACAAAACAGTGGAATTGACTGCACTGCATTGACTTGTCTAGGGTACCATGTCTAGGTTGCCCAAGAAAGTTACAAAAAATATCTTGATATCTGGAGAATTAAATGGCTTACAAAACTAAGAACCTTTCTACAATGAAGTTTGTAATCATAAATACGACAGTCTTGGTTCAGTGAAAACAAATATTAAACAAGCAATATTACAAATGACTTAATAATAATAATAATAATAGGCATTTCTATAGTGCCGTCTTTCTATAAATTCTATTCCGAGGCGCATTTATTATTACCCCGACTTTAGCCTAGCTGCCATTACAGCGCTCCAGCATTTCAAGGAATTAATTCCTGCCTGGTACCCATTTACCTCACCTGGGTCGAGTGTGGCAAATGAAGCTTAATGCCTTGTCAAAGGACATTAGTACCGTGTCAGGGACCGACTATGACCTTTGAATTCCAAGTCAAGTGCTTAAACCAATCAACAACGACACTTCTACTTCTTTAAATCACTCATACTCATAGCATCATTTGAAATGTAAAGTAGATATGAGAACACATGTACCTGGAGAGTTTGAAAATCCGCAAGAGCCTGGAGAGGATGGTATATCTCAGAGAGACCATTCACAATTGGAATATAGCCCTCTGTTGACAAGGTGAGGAGAGTCTCGTGGTCGTAGACTCGAGCGAGAGCGATGTCAACAAAGCCAGACAAAACTCTAGAGTAAGATAAAGTTTTAAAGCGATACTTAAAGATACTATGTCCCTTTTGAAGCCAACATCACATTATGTAGAACTTTGCACTGGGAATTATGAATATGTCATGTACATGTATGTCCTAACTGTGAAATTTAAACGTTAGCAGTGTCCAAATATTCAAATTATGCAAGGAAACCCGTTTACTAGCTAGGAGGCGAGTTGGCTCAGTCGGTAAAGCGTCTGCCTGTCGAACCAAAGATCCCGGGTTCGACTCCCACCCAGGCGGATGACTGAAGCCTGCGTTGTGTGTTAACGTGCCCCTTCCCTTGTTCATAGATGCAGGTTATGTCAAGTGGAAAACACTCCGTCCCTCGGATAGGACGTTAAATGGAGGCCCCGTGTACAGGAGAGTCACCACCCTTGCACGTTAAGAACCCATTGCACTATTCGTATAAGAGTAGGGGGAAACCCCGGTGTAATGGTCCACCTGCATACCCCAACCAGGCCGAGTATACGGCATCTGCAAGAATCTTCAGTATTGAAGGAGGCAGATTATCTTGAAGAAGAAGAAGATCACTGTCAGACACTATCGAGTGACTGACTGGCTTTTTTCTTCTTTGGTAAGAACATTCATAAAATGAGCTGTGAAGGGTGCATTTGTCTACATCAATAACCCACTTCTTGTAATGGCCAAAATTAAACTGATTGAATCTTTGTGCAGCATTAAACGTACAACCATTTGGTACAATGGTCTAAAAATCAGACTATTACTTACTGGCCCTATAGCTCTTAAGTCGATTAAACAACTAATAGTCATTATTTTCCCACTTAAAGACATTTTCAAGCCCCCCCTTTTGTTTAGTGAAGTTCTAAATTAGTATTATTTTTCAAATGCCGTTGAAATTTAACCTTTTCATTTTTTTGGCCTGCAAATGGGACATACATGTAGTGCCTTTAACTGATGAACTTTCTGCCCTAGCATACTGTTTATGGAACAGCGCCATCTCATGGTCAACTTGCCAACAGCGCAAAACCTGAAACATGCCTCATTTCCACTTCGCGGACAGCGGATTTGATGTGACAACCAATAGCGCAGCTAGGGAAGCAGAACGTTACAGGACCATACTGCTACAGCCGACCTGAGATGGAGCTTGAGGGAATTTTGGGGTAGTGCTTCTAGTACAGTATGGCTTTCATTAAACTAATCTTATGAAACATTTGTTACCTAATTATCTTCTGGGGCCATTTTGACTGTACAGCCAATTTTGAGACCTCAGTCATAAGAAATATATTTCGAGATCACAAACTTTTTTGTTGTAAAGTAAGAGTTTTGAGACAATAATATCCCATGTCTTTTGTATTTTGTAATTGAAAATTTTTACTTCCCCCTACCCCACCCCCCTGTAACTGTATCAATAATGGTTAAAGGGAAATCCTACCCAAATATACAACTACCGGTACTTTAAAAGAAAGCAGAAAAATCAGAGAAGCAAGCTGATGAAAGTTACAATGAAAGTTTCTTACAAAATATATATAAGAGAGTTATGAATTTTTGACAGTTGTAATCACTATACGTAAGGGCACTTCAAATTGGCTGAAGCGATAATGTCAATGGGTGGTATTCCGGTAACGCGTACTAAGTTAGCGCGTGCTTAGTTAGTTCACACTTTTATGGAGTGCCTGTTGTGAACTGATTTACCCTGAACAGATTATTTTAATCCTTCAATGAAAAGTGTCCAAAAAATTAATTTTGCAATGAGATGGGAAGAAAAAGATCATATGAGTATGAACTGAATTTCAACAAAGTCTTTGGTAGATTATCTTTGTCATGAATATTGAAGGAGGAAGATGAAACCTAGCATTCCATAGAAGTGTGAACTAAAATTCTTGTTTAGTCTGGACTTAGTTCCGGCTTAACTTATGAGAATACCACCCAATGTGATGTAGTGATGGACTACTTTCCCATCTGTTCCAACATATCAAATGACTAAAATTTAAATTTTTCAAAAAAGCATGGCTCAGGAGGGTCTATTTCTTTAGAGGACCCATAATAATATGCTATCTATAATATATTTTGAGTAGTGCCCCAAGGGAGAAGGAAGTTACGAGAAAAACAGAAATTAATGACATTTTTTTACGACAAATGGGAGAGTTATCCACGTCATTCGTCACAATCCACTACAAACCAAACTACCAATTTGAGATTTGCATAGACTTTGAGTGATCTCATATTTCAAACACATAACTTCCTTACTATTAGTCCGATTCATTTCAAACTTTTGCCATTCTGTCTTTGTTATTTTTCTGCTTTCATACAAATCAACTTATTACAAAGGTTGGATTGCCCTTTGATTACAGAGAGTGAGAGAGAGGAATGCAAGAATACCGGTAACTTACTTTGCTGTATCTTTCACAGATTCATTGACTCCTAGATGAATGTCTGCTGGTGATAAGAAAGCAGCATGTCCACCGAGCAAAGCAAATCCTGTATGAATTAAATATATAATGTAAATATGAGGTGTTTTTATACACCATGATATAAACACAAACAAAAATAGATATTAAGGCCAATAATTTGTTGACAATTTTGTTTCAAGATGCGGAGTGGGTCAAGAAGGAAGGAATAATGTTGTTACCTGTTTCGTTGGAAACCCTGGTTCTGGTGCTACGTTTCTCAAAGATCAGGGCAGCAGACTTGCCTTCCAAGGGTCTGTAGGCCTCACCGTTTTGCTTGTAGCGGATCTTCAAGTCTGCAGCCGTCCAAAGCAGCTGTTCAATCTCGGTCTTGGTGAAGTATTTGAGCGTGAGGAAGTGACGCCCGACAAGCGAAGACCAGCTGCAGGAAGGGAAGGAATGGGGGATGTGTTTGAAAAGGCTTACTAAGAAATATCGGGTTATCGCGTCCGGTCGGGTGGCCACGTTACATGGCCTTCCGTGACACAAAAGCATAAGATGACACGACCTTTCATTGATTTGCCGTTGGGTTTTCACAACGTGTTAGATCAATTGGACCGGACCATTTGTAGATGAGAGGGGTTCATTTCACAAGCAAGAACCCTGTCATTTTGCAAATAAAGGGGCATGTTTTCAACTCAAACAAAAAGGTTGGATAATGCGACCACCTAGCCTGATGATTCAAAGTAAGCTGTTTGAGAAGAAGGCTTTGTTTTTTCATGAGTTTAGTCGGAAAGCTTTGATCTCCTTTCATAATGTGTATAGCATTAAAGGTGAAATTCAAAGAAAATCATTGTCATTTTTTAGAGTGTAATGCACTTGGAGAGTATATACCGGTAACTATTATGTTTGTATTTTATAATGTAAAGCGCCTTGAGCATGTTCATGTAAAGGCGCTAAATAAATACCAATATGTATGTATGTATGTATGTATGTATGTATGTAATCACAAATATATGTCAACTAATGTATCACTAGAAACTGGTAAGCTAACAGATGGCCATCGTACAAGTTTTAGGTAAACTACATATCGGGTGATTTATAAAAATATAAATATAAATACAACCACCTCCATAGCAGCTGGGATATACGAGAGACTCGCCAGAAAAATAACGATGTTGTAATGACGTCACTATATGGACCAATACTGCCCAAGCAGACGATATCCCATAAAGAATGAACATAATTGCAAAGCTATTATTTGTCAAATTATAATGAGTTTAGTGTATATAAATGTAATGGCATGTCAAACCATTCAAAAGGGGATATGACCCCATTTTGATAACTAAAATCTTTTGCTTGTAAATACACAGAATAGGGTTAATTAACAATCAAAGAACCAGACTTTCAAATTGAAAAACCTCCGGAATAATGTTAAGGACGGCATTTGTTCCCTCTTGAAACGCTGAACATACCGCGGTGTGTGCAGCTGAATATACAATGGCGTCTTATTTTGTTTACAAGCGACAAATTCCTTTATTTTTGTATCGCTGCATTTGTCATCGAAATAAAAACATGCGCGGGTTTAGAGTGAGGCAATAGATTATACATTTAGCCTGACGGTAGTGAAGTAAGAGAAAGAACTCAAGAGGAGATAAAAACACAGGCACTGAAAATGTGTGAGATGTCATGGGACATCGTCTGCTTGTGCAAATCATGTCCATACTGTGATCTCACTCATCTCAGCAGCATTCGGAGAGCTCTTCAGGTGCCATGCCAGGGCTGTTTTTAAGCGTTTTGTACTCTATAATAATCATTACTTTGAACAAAAAACACATCAAAAACATAAAAAAACTGAAAAATATCGGACCAAAGAGGGCGACAAAAAAAAAGTTTAAAAAAATAAAATCTTTTCCGACCGACCCACCCATGTTTTGGCACCTAAAGGGCAATGCAACAAGTTTTTATTTTAGGCCTAATAGTAATACAAATAGAAAAGAAAGTATTCTAGCCTGTTTTAACACAGGGATGAGACTTAAGATATTAAATGGGGGTCCGCCCCTAGCAGGGGTTAAGGGGGCAGTGCCCCCTAACAGAGTAAGAATTGGGGTTAGATTTTTAGGGCTAGGGAATTTTCTTTCCTACCAATTTTGATTTTTAATGAACTTTTATCAAAAGATTGCATGCTTTTATTTTAACTACAATCACCGTTGGCTCGTTCGCAAATTGATATCATTTTATGTAAACAAATTCCTGAATTGAAACCATTTTCGTGTGAATTTATTATTTTCTACAATTCGAATCTGCAATATAATTTTCGTTTTTGAAGTAATTTATAATCGAAACTCTAATATTATCAAAATCGGGCAATTGTTTCTATATTTTGCAGGTATACACCATCTGTCGCACCATAATCAGTATGCAATTCAATGCATAATTATTTGAACCTCTTAAACCAAATAATTTATCTTGTAATGAAAATGTTAATTTTTTTCCGGTACTACAGTAGTATAAATCTTGTGCTCCAACCTATCCCAAATAAGTTTAACATGCGTACAATCACATAGCAGATGTATAACTGTTTCAATCTGTTCATTACAAAATGTACATTCTTTTCTTGGGACTAAATTCATTTTAAACAGTAGATTGTTCGTATAATATGCATTGTAAAACTTTAAACTGAAACCATCGTACGCCCACATCAGTAAGTGGAAAAAATGTATTTTACTGCGAGAGTAAAGGAGGGGGTTTTCGGCCGGTCCGTTGGATGCATGGTAAAATAACTTTAAAATACATCGCAACAGCACATATCACACACATACAACAACATGGCAGAGTCACTGAAGAACCACATTTGCAATGGAAAATGGGAGTGGGGGCATGTGCCCACCCCCAACCCCCCCCCCCCCAAAAAAAAAAATTCCAATTTGTTAGACCCTTCCCCAGGATTACATTTACATTACATATACATCGATTACATGTATGTGCCCCCCCCCCCCCAAACCCCCAAACATCAAACTCTGGCTACGTCCCTCCAAAAAATGAAAAAATAGCATTTTTGTCTTAAGATCATGGCCGAAAATCCCATCCTTTACTCTACATGTATTTAGACCGTCATGAAATCAGTGGAGTTTTGTACAGTGGTGTTTGAAATGTTGAGAATCAAAAGCCCAGCTTTTACTACACAGCCAGGATAGTAATGCACCTATGTGTCGATTGGTTGGGTATTCTGCAATTAAAGGTATTACAAAGTTTTGGGAAATTTTGAAAAATGGGTGGATAGGTCTAGTGATTCTTTAAAATTTTGATATATTTGGATGCCCCTGTGGATGTGTTAAAAGCACTAGAAATTTTAGCCCCTAAAACACTTTTGCTTTCGAGAAAAATTGAATAGACTAGATCTATAAAGATTTCCCGGTGCTCCCGGCAAATTTTGATAAATTTCAAATAGTCTAGCTCCTACGGCCGTACAATGGAAGCTGCGACCATGACAATCTCAGAATATGTAGTTGTGGTATATAATTTCCGAACGGGAATAGCTAATCGGCCGATTTTAGTCAAGGAACATTGTTTTACAGCTTAATTAATATCTTGACCTTGAGAGGGAGCTATACAACATAGACCTAAAGTGTTTATTATTTACAATTTCATAACTTTAGAGTCGATTTCGACCGCGACAACGATCAGTGAATATTGTAGGATCGCGTATGCTTCCAATATGTTCATTTGAACCAAATTCACGACCCCATACCAAAACTTTGTATTACCTTTAAGCCCAACAATCAATCTTCCAACATAATTTTCAACGAGTGGGACCGAGATTAAATTCATTGAATATGTTTATACAAATTACCCCATGTCCTGGCCATCATTGTACACCTTCTTGCTGGTATGAAGACTTGCACATAACAGTCGAGATTTAGACTTGACTGGTAACAATTCTGTGCCTACAACGCCGCAGAAACGACGGAACGAGGAAGAGATGGAATTCATGTTTGACTTTTGGTTTGGTTCTTCTTCTTCTTGACCAAATAAGGTATCGCCGAAACGTCCAATCGAAAAAGGAAACTATTTCAAAACCCCCAACATTATTTTGTATAAAAATAATTCATTTACCGCATTTGGTACACATGTACAAGGTACACACAATGCTCTTTACAATATTTCTAATAGACGCATTGCACTGATACTGAATATGGATAGTGCAAAATTAAACACCTTATCATAATATCTGACGGAAATAATGATTGGCCTGTTTTTAGATCTTAGCAAGGCTTTTGATTATCTCGATCCCACTCCATTTTATTTAATTAACAACTTGGAATGTTATTGTTATAGAGGAATTATACTGGAATGGTTTGAAAGTTATTTAAGTAATCGAAAACATTATGTTGTAGGCCTACTACAAAAATCTGAATCACAGGCAAAGACAGGGTAAGATGTGGAGTGCCCCAGGACTCAATTCTAGGACCACAATTATTTATTTTGTATGTAAATGATATTTGCAATTGTTCGAAAGTGCTATAAAACTAATATCATTTGCAGATGACACTAGTGTGTTAATGTTTCATCAAGATATTCTATTTCTTTAAAATCTTGTAATCAATTTAAACAAAACATTTCATGATTTTCACAAAAAACACATCGATATTACTAAGATTAGAGTTAAGGAATCTGTTGTTGAACAAGCCACACATTTAACATTTTAGGAGTCGCGATTGATGATGAATAAAATTGAAAGGAACACACTGGTGTCATCGGCAATGGCCCGTTAGCTAAACATGTTGGTGTATTTTATAAATTGAAACTTTTCCTAAAGAAATATTTGTTAATTCATATACTACATTAATATTACCCCATGCTCTAGAATGCAGAATACAAAACGGTTTTTAATGTTACAGAAGAAAATTATAAGGTTTATGCCACACAAGCAATACCTTGCCCATACTATAGACCTCTTTGTTTTTACAACCTTAATATTTCAAGAGTAGGCCTATACGATATCAACGTGCAATTGTTATGTATTTATGCTTTAAAAAGTTTACCAAGTACTTTTTTGCATTATTTTCAACTCAATAAGAATATTCATGACCACCAGACCAGGTATTAGAATGTGTAATATTCCAGGGGTAGGGACACTAGTTTCCTAAAATACGACTTTCTTCAGGGGTCCCAAAATTTGGAATGATCTATAAATCACTGAGCCCATCACTGAATAGTTTTAAAAGAAATTTAAATTGTATTTATTACAACAATACTCAATGGTGCAAAAACCTTTATTTAGTTTTCATCAAGCAGATAAGTGTGTGGTGGTGCGCATAGGAGAGAGTTTATGTGTGAATTAATATTTTTTCCCTTTTTTCTCCTGTTATTAAAAAATGAATATTTCAATAATGTACTTAGTTTCTTATACTTATTATTAAAGACATGCAGACTTTTACATGACGCCTTCCTGTCTTGTCTCCAAATACTAGGCAAATACTTTCATTACGTGTTTAAACAAAATTCCCCTTGTTCTTCAAAACATCATTTCCTCGCCACTTGTGTTATTCTCATGTTATATTATATTGATACATGTTTTATATTTTAACTTTGTTAATGAAAGTATTTAATAAAGTGAACTTGAACTTGAACGTTAATCCGAGCAAATTGCATTTGTACATCCAGCTACGTAAAATTAAGTGCTGCAATAAAAATGCTGTACAAACTCGCTAAAATCGTATTCTTAGCTGATTAATAGTGCAGTGAGAGGAGGCATTCAGCTTTTTCTTGGTATAGGTCGTGTCGATCTTACTGTTTGGACCTGAAGACGGTAAATAGAAGATATGGCACTATCTTCGTCTCAACAATAATTAACGTTCGTTGCCGCGAGGAATCAAACATGCGGCCTTAATCCGAGCAAATATCAGGTCGTGTAAATCTCCTTCACGTGTCGTAACTAGAAGATATGGCACTATCTTCGTCTCAACAATAATTAACGTTCGTTATTTGAACAATGCCGCGAGGAATCAAACATGCGCCTCAATTCGAGCAAAATATCAGGTCGTGTAAATCTCCTTCGCGCGTCGCAAATTGCCCCCCACCAGAGATAAAGCTTCTTTTTTCCCCCTTCTTTTTCTTTTCTTCAATTCAAATCAAGTAATTTTATTTCCATAACTCAATAAAAACATGAACACGATGCTTCCATAAAAGGAAAAAAACATTACATTTGCAATAAAATATGCAAAATGAAAATTGTTAATTTTACCATCTTAAGCGGGACTAAGTAGCTACTTGCACCCTCTACAATGTGAGTCCAAAAAAGCCCACACCCAGAAAACTGCCAACTATTTCAAAAATCATCCATGAACAGCAAAATACCACACATCCCACGAAAGAGTGCTTCATCCCAAATCACTTGGTATCGTTTTTGTGTGGTATGCGCTCACGCCCAGATGAACATATAGTCTAGTTCTGGACCCTATATTCGGCGAATAACAAAAATCAATATAGCGCGGTTAGTGGGGGTCTCGCACTGATCTCTACGCCAGCCCCCCCCCCCCCAATAAAATTAAACCATGACTTATTTTCAATTCCATTCAAGTGATTTATAAATGTTCGTGATAATAACGTGATTTTCAACAAAATGTGCGTTTTTCCATTTCTGTTGCAAACTGACACATTCGCAAATAGCCAGGAAGAGCAATGTTTTTATAGTCACTAATGGGCATTAGTGGCCACTACCAGTAACACTAGTAGAAACCTTTCGAGAAGCTATACTGCGACAAGCACTGCCGCGGGAGATAACATGCTACCCACCCGGCCCCCCACTCAGAGGTCGGAATGACCGCATGCGTGTTGCCAAAATTTTCGTGCGACAAAGTTCGGCCCAAAAATTGTAAAAAAAAGGGGTGTATTTGACTTTTCACCCGGAGATTTCTTTAAAAAGGGGGTGTTTTTTTTCTCTCATCTCTCTGGACTCCTGAGAAATTATTCCGAATTTAGAGGGGGAAGGGGGGAAATTGGGCATTTTTCCTGATTTAGGGGGGTCTCCAAGGCAGGCTTTTTGCCAGCGAAATGCCCGCGAAAGGGGGGTTCGGAATTATTGGCAGTCCTCAGATAGGGGGTGCTTTCAAAAAGAGGGAACGAGCATAATTATGCGTACCCTAAATAACATTGAGTGGGGGGGGGGGGGGGCGGGGCTACCCACCACTCGGGCTGTGCTCAGTGGGGAAACTGAATCCAGACAAGGATTAACGGTACAACGAATCGTCTTCTTTCTCTAATAATTTAATGAAACGGCAGAGCTTCCGCGCTAAATTCGCGCGGGCGGGGGGGGGGGGGCAACTTAATTCAGACTAGGATTCAGAGTCGAGAACAGTAAAACGAATCGCCTTCTTTCTCTAATAATTTAATGAAACTAAAAAGCTTCCGCTCTACGCGAGGTATGAGCGAAAATAATTTTAGTAATAATTAAATGAAACGTCAAAGCTTTCGCGCTTCGCGCGGAAGGGGGGGGGGGGGGGGGGGGGGTGGGGGGAACTGTATTCAGACAAGGACACGATACAATGAATCGCCTTTTTTCTCTAATAATAATGAAACGTGAAAGCTTCCGTGCTTCGTGCGGTATGAGCGAAAATGATTTTAGACAAGGATTGAGTGTTATAATTAAATAAAACGTCAAAGGGGGACCGGGAGGGGGGGGGGGACTGAATTCAGACAAGGACACGATACAATGAATTGTCTTTTTTCTCTCATAATTGAATGAAACGTGAAAGCTTCCGCGCTTCGCGCGGGATGGGCGAAAATGAATTCAGACAAGGATATGGTACAACGAATCGCCATCTTTCTCTAATAATTTAATGAAACGTGAAAGCTTTCGCGCTTCGCGCGAGTGTTGGGAAACTGAATTCAGACAATTAGGACCCGATACAATGAATCATCTTCTTTCTCTAATAATTTAATGAAACGTGATAGCTTCCGCGCTTCGCGCGGGATGGGCGAAAATGAATTCAGACAAGGATTAAGAATAACGTCAAAGCTTCCGCGCTTCGCGTGGGAGGAGGGGGGGGGGACTGAATTCAGACAAGGGCACGATACAACGAATCGTCATCTTTCTCTAATAATTTAATGAAACGTGAAAGCTTCCGCGCTTCTCGCGGGATGAGCGAAATTGAATTCAGACAAGGACACGGTACAACGAATCGCCATTGCAAATGCTTCCTACTCAGACCCACCCCCGCTTGGTCGCTCCGCTCCCTCGCCGCTAAAGCCTCGCTCTGTCGCTTTATCGTTTTACATATATTTAACCCCATGCCATTTTGTGCCCCCCCCCGGTAAGAAATTCCTGGAACCGCCACTGTTTGCCCATACCCCTTGAGCTTCGGGGCTCCGCCTCTTGACCCCGCCGGGGCTTTACCCCTAGACCTCATTTTGACAAACGTTTAGCCCCCCCCCCCCCCCCAAAAAAAAAAAAAAAAAAAAAAAAAAAAAACGCTTTTGCTCATTACGCCACTGCATCCAAACGCATCAAATCGCACCCTAACGTATCGAATGGCCCATCGTGGGGTTCGCAACGGATCGTACAACAGTGGGAATTCTCCATAGATGGTGAACTTTGCCCCAACTCCCGCTCCCGGTTCATTATGCGCAGAACATGACAACGCAATAATATAAAGAGCCAATAGAATGGTAAATTTATTTTTAGTCACCATTACCGTTTGCGGCGTATCAGGGTCGTGTTATCCTAATCGTAAGCGTTTAATCGAGAACCTTTAACGGAATCATTTTGTTTTTTAATCTCGTATCATACCAACTTACCTCTTTATCCAAGGGCATTTTGTCCAACAAGCAGCCCAGGACCGACGTATCATCATCATTCACTTATTTAGAACATTATCTCTGAGATATCCGCATCAATTTGACTTGCCAATCAATAATGGAGCAAAAATATCAGGTAAGCCTAAAAAGTATTGCATTTGGGAGAGGGTTGAAAACTTATGATGATCTTTGTTTTAGACCGGGGTTTTAGAGTGTACATACATGTTTTGTCTTGGCAGAACAAGACTAAAGACATTATATTTCAATACAGATGATAGCATCATGAATGCAATGTTTTTATTCTTGTTCTATTAAGAGAAAAATAATAAGGATAAAATGCCTCAATAATGGTAAATAATAGTAAACAAAATAATTCCATTTAATTCAAAGCGCTACTATTTTTGGTAGAAACTCTACTGCGCTTAATACGAAGTATCATAGTATAACCCCTGCTGCAGCGCATCCCGGCTGTAGCTGAGCCGCCATATTCGATGGGTCCGTAATTGGTGGCCATATTGTCAACCAGTTTAGGTTTCTACATTGTGTATCAAAAAAGTGTACCCAACGTTGGTAGCTCCTAATTAAAAAGTCATGACCAATATGACTTTGAAATAAATTTTATGATAAGTAACTTGTCTCCTGTCCAATGATACTATATTACAAATATTTCTTCCACGGGTGACTGAGCAACAGGGTCTTTTAAAGTGTTGTCGAAATCGCCTTGTGGGCTGATGGAACGAATGTAGGCCAGGCCATATGCATGTGCTTCTTTCGTCTTAAATCCTTTTAGCAGTTAAATTATGCCTTGATAATGCAATGTACCTAGGCGTTCAGAGAACCTTGTATCAATCCATAGGATAACCATTAATTATTTTGAACAGCCTACTAACTTCTTGTCTCATGAGTCCATGGGCGTAAATCCGCAATTGATACCTATTGTTCAGGGGGGATGATATCTATTCATTTATCCCCCCTGAACGATAGGTATTACGTAAGGATTTATGCCCATGCATGAGTCATACTCTGTATTTTACGACTTGTTTACGCAAGTCTGTGACAAGCATGCACCAACTATATCATCAACTTCGAAGAATCTAAAAAAGGGGAAAAATATTGGGAGAAAACGATGGATGACTAATGCTATTTAAAAATCAATCAAGAAGAAGCACAAGTTGTATTCTAAACTAAAGGCATCAAAATCTCAACAGAAAGACGAGGAAGTATACAAGAGGTATAGACATTTTCTAACTACAGTTCTACGAAATGCAAAGAGACAATATTATAGTAACCTCTTCTTCATTTCAATTTCAATTTCAATTCAATTTCAATTTATTATTTCATAAAAAATCACATACAATATATATACATTGAGAATTGTGCTGGATCATTTACACCCGATAAAGCCGATGGCTTGAGAGAAGTGGGTGGACCCATAACATAAATGACAAATGTGTAAAATACAAAACATTAAAATTCACAATAAAACAAAAGACGTATACAGGACATTGTAAAAAAAACACAATAATAATACAGAACGATATAATTTATAAGGTAATGGTATGTATCATAGGAAGTCATATATATGTGGTAAGAAGACGCAACTTAAATTTGGACTTGAAAGAACTAAGAGTAGTTACATGTTTGATTGAGTTGTCAATATTATTCCATAATTTCCCCCCTTTTTGTTGAATAGAATTTACCTTTCGTAACTTTAAACGTGCATATGGCAAGACCATTTTATTTTTTTGTCTTGTGTTAACATTATGTTTCTTGTCAACTGTAGCAAAGTAATTATCAAACACGGGTGGTAACAACAAATTCGAATAACGGTACATAAAGACTCCTGTTTTAATTGTTATATTATCAGAGAAATTTAGTATATTCAGTTTCTTAAACAACGGCAGGGTATGGGCAAGATAATGGGAGTTTGAGCATAGACGAATGGTTTTCTTTTGTATGTAGCCTGTTTAAATGACACGAGCTGGCGGCCCCTCCCCATACAAGACTACAATAATCGAAATAAGGCAGGACAATGGCATTGTATAAAGTGAAAAGGGTTTTGAGCGGTAGAAAATAACTTAACTTACTCAACATACCTATAGACATGCTAATCTTTCCACGAATGGAGTTGATGTGATTAACCCAAGTTAGCTTAATATCATCTATCTGTACTCCTAGGAAATTGATACTGCTCGCTCTTTGTATTTCAAGGTTATCTAGTTTTATCGAAAAATCAAATTGAAGTTGTTGGCGCTTATTTGAACAAAAAAACATATATAGTTTTGTCAGTATTGAGAATTAATTTGTTAGCTTTGAACCAGCAAGAGATCTTGTTTAATTCGACATTTGCATAATGTTGAAGAGTATTTTTATCAGCATGTGAAATAAATATGTTGGTATCGTCTGCATATAAAACAAAATGTAATAATTAATTATATCATTCATATATATCAGAAATAACAAAGGACCAATTATACTCCCTTGTGGAATTCCACATACCACAGGCATTGTCTCAGAACTTAAACCTTTAAAGCTAACAAATTGTTTTCTATTGCTGAGATAATTAACAAACCAGTCATGTGGTATACCACGTACGCCATAATTTTTCAATTTTTGTAACATTATGTTATGATTTAAGGTATCGAATGCCTTATTTAAATCAATACATATCCCTAAAGTATATTCTTTTTATCTAAACATGAGGTTATATGCTCTAAGGCGTGTAAAAGTGCCATTTCCGTGGAGTGGTTGGGTCTGAATCCAAACTGGTATTTTGTTAGAATGCTATTTCTAGACAGATGGCTATAGAGTCTTTTAAATATAATACGTTCGAGGATTTTTGAAAGAGTTGGAAGTAGAGATATAGGGCGATAGTTTTTGGTTAAATTTGGATCATTCTTGTTATAAACAGGAATTATTTTTGCTCTCTTTAGGTTGTCTGGGACGACGCCTGTGGACACAGACAAATTGAAAATGTGTTTTAGAGGATAAGAAATATGATGTATAATTTTTTCCACAAAATTGGTACTTATACCATCATACCCACACGAGGAACTAGATTTCAAATCCTTCACAATCTGTATAATTTCACATTCACTTGTAGGATTAAAAAAACAGAGATTCCGAAGTCCTTGGATTCAAGTATTCCGAAAAATGGTGAGATTTTGACTGAACATCGTTGGCAACTGATGCACCGACATTAGTAAAATATGAATTGAAAGAATCAGCCATTTCCTTTTCATTGGATATTTGTTTGCCATTTTTCAAGGCAAATTGCGGTAGTTTAACCTTTCTATTTCTTCCTAAAATATCATTAATCGTTTTCCAAGTTTTGTTAAGATTCAATTTATTTTTTTCAAAAAGGTGTGCATAGTGCTTTCGTTTTGATAATCTAATAATGTAGTTCAATTTGTTTCTATAACTTTTGTATAATCAACAGTTTTTACACGATGGGTTTTTTTATATATTTTCGGAATAATCTCTGCTTCTTATTGTTGGAACATAAAATCCCTTGAGTTATCCATGGCTTTCTCGGAATATCTCTGTTTTTCCGTTGAAATGATGCATTAACATTTGCATGCTTTTTACATATCCCAAACAGTGTATGTAAAAATGATTCATATGCTGAGTTTGTATCATCACATCTGTTTACACAAAACCAATTTTTTAGACTTAAATCCCTTGAAACATTTTCATAATTTAATTTAGAAAAAACTGAATCATTTGTTGTGGGATGAGAAGTACAATCCTGCATACGAACAAATTCGGTCAACTGGAAAATGGGGAGGTGATCGGAAACGTCACAATAAAGTACTCCAGAATAAAATGTTTTGTCCAGAACATTAGTAAATATGTTATCAATACATGTACAGGATGACGCCGTGACACGTGTAGGCTTGGTGATCAATGGTTGCAAACCATTAGAATACATGACACTTAAAAAATTACCAGTTTGAGAATGAGAAGAATGTCTCAAAATATCAAAGTTAAAGTCACCAAGTATATAACAGTACTTACTTTCTTTAGAAATAGCTGACAAACATTTATCTAATACATCGTTAATAGATTTTCCATCCGAGTTTGGAGCTTTGTATATTACACCAGCAATCACATTTTTAAACTGTAGCTCTATAAATAATGAATCAATATCGTCATTGTTAAATGAAATATCTGGTCATTCTTTGTAATTTAAGTTAGAGTCAATATATAAACAAACTCCTCCACCTACTCGAGTTGTTCTGGATTGGTGTAAAAAAGAGTATCCCAACATATTATACATAGATGGAACGTTTTGTTTGAACCATGTTTCTGTAAATGCATATATTGAACATTTATGGTGTAAACTCTTAATATAATCCTGAAAGCTCATGTATTTGGAAGCCAAACTTTGACAGTTTAAATGAAACATTGAAAGAACATTATTTTCCTTATAGGATTCAAATTTACTATTAAATGTATCACTGAAATAATATTTGCGTGTAGTTTCAAAAGTACCAGGTCCATCATTATCATTGAAAGTGTCAAACAAATTCGAACAGAGTCGTGAAATATTATTTATGTTACCGTTTTGACGAAAGAAAGCATTAATGGTAAAGATAAATTCATCATCATCAATGATATGGTTGAATGGTAGTTCATTTGCAATGCAATAAAAACATGACAACATTCCTTGCGAATGAGTTGCATCTGAGCACTCATTCATGACATTGGTTGCCACAGTGACAAACCAGGTGATTCTGATTATTTCTTAATGGGTTGAGACATACAATACACTTCATGACTAACACATACACGATTATAAAATTACGTAATACGTATACAAAGAAACCTTAGAAAACACACAAGTTCAAGAGTTCACGAGTTCAACATTGTAACTTAAAATTCAGTAGCCGGTTTGTTTACATTCTTCGTGCCGGTGAATTAAGCGTTCCTAGTAACAATTTTGTATCGCGTAAACATAGAGTAATTCAGGTACTCCGTTTATGTTTCTGCCAGTCAGATTCTGATGATATTACTATCTTCACATTTGATGGTGTTTTCACTCTGATTTTCCCATCCTGTGTCCAGATCTTGTTCGGTGCTAGGTATCTTTCTTTCATTTTTCTCATCAATCTTTGTCTGTCACTGGTGAGATTC